ACAATACATAAATAAAATATATTATTGTTTTGAAAAAAAATTCATTCATATTCTTTATTTTATTCCCACCTTTTAAATGAGAATAAAGTTGTATATAATTTTTATTTTCATTCTCATTCTTTATTTTCATTTTCATTTCATTCTTTTCAACCAAACACCTACAAAGTAAAAATAAAATTTTTATTCTCATTTCCATTCTTACTACTCTATTCTTAATAACTAAACAACACCTTATTGTTTTCTTCTTAAACGATTGCATGCTTTACATTAAAAAAAACGTTACTTGCCATTTTTTTACAAGAACTAATTGTACTTAACATTTGAGACATAATGACTGCGATTATTTCTTTTCTCGGATGGATCTTTTAGTAAGCCTATACATAGAGGCCAAGTATCCTTGATGAAATACACACGAAAAAGCAACATGCAGCAATCTTCTTTATTGCTTTCATAATTTTATGGATAAAAATGATACTATTTTATTTTATTTAAAATTTTAAATCTTACAAATGGTATAAATTTGTTAAAATATAATAAGATGATTGAGTTTTTTGTATCATTTAGACGACGTGTAACATACATTGAATTTGTTGCATCGGATATATTCTACGAACGACGTAAAAAGTTTCAATTCTTTATTTATCTTAATTTATGATTAATTTAGTTAGTTATTTTGTGAATTTTTATTATTTAATTATGTTTCTTTTTATGTATTAGAAACAACACGTTACATAACAAAAATAACAAAAAACTATACATTTATTATTATGAAAACTTCTCAATCTATATGCAAATTTTGTCTTTTTATATATTTTAAATTTATCAAGCTGAATAAAACGTTAAAGTAGTTGAATGTTTTTTTATTACCAATATTGTATTTATATCTTAAAACAAAAATATTTGATTTAATTCAGTGAAGCATATAAATCAAAGACGTAAAAAAATATTATGATAAAGTTTGGTATTTTGGAAGGACATAAATATTTTTTAGCATAAAAAAAAAGTCAATAATAAAAAGAACAATTTTTTTTTTTTTTTTTTTAAAAAGGTGGTCAGCCTACGATCTTGTGTTGGGCCAACATCGAGCCCCGTATGCACCTACCCAAGGCAAAGAGAGAGAGAGGGAAACAGGTAGACGACACATCTTTCATTTTGTTCGCCCAAGAGTTATCAACCTTAGTTTTGATTGACTAACAAACTAATTTAATTTAATTAAAATTTTTAAGCTTAAAATTATTTAATATTGCATCTAACATGAGATTAAGTCAAGTAAATGCAACATTTAGGCTGCATTTACTTATGATGAACATTTCAGGTATGAAACATAATATTTTACAAACATGAAAAAAAGTCTATCTATATGATTTTCAAGTCAAGGAAGTTGTATCTTGACGGTCATTTTAAAAACTGCAAAGATTGAAGCATTCGAGTGATGAAGATCTTTAATTTAATTTTTACACTACATTTTAAAATAATTAAATATATTTGATGACAACCATGATGCTCTCAATCACATTAGAAAAAAATATATATTAGGAGGATCATTCATGTTAGTCATAACTATAAGGGTCCAATAAACCTAGTCAGGTAGGGAAAATTGAGGGGAAAAAAAAAAAATCAAGATTGAACCTAGAAAGGAAAACTCAAGACTAAGAACAATGTCAAAATCAACTACATAAGCCCAAAACCGGCTAAGTTGGCTCCAGGACCAGCCGAGTAGAGTTTTGCCCGAAATCTTGTCTGTTTTGGTAACATTTTGTGCAATGATTATTTCCATACAAGGAAGTAACAACTAATATCTTAAATGCTTCATAAAATCCCTTCATTACTATGTATTTTAGTATGAAAAGAACGTTAAAGAAACACTTAGATATCATAACGTCTTTTTTTTTTAATCTTTCACATTGTGCTATTGTTGGTTTGTTCTCGAGGTGAGCACAATCATTTGGATTACTTAAAAACTTGTAGGTGAGAATGGTACCGAATCAACACTCGGATCTAGAGTAGACCAAAAATTGTAAAAGTCTTGTTCCTCGCCAATGCAAATAGGAGTAGTGTATAATGGATAGAGAAATCCAAGTTCCATTGGGGACTGGATGTAGACATGGTTGAACCAGGATAATTCCTTATGTTTGCTTTCTCTATCCCTATTCTCTTTAATTTGTTTCCTTGTACTTAATTATTTCAAATTCATCGTCTCTACACATATTGCATTATCTTGTTTGCTGTTTTGCCTTTTAAGTTTTGGTCATGGTTTTTACATTTTCTTTTAAAAGCCTATTCACCTATCTTTAGGCCTAACTCTTGGGCCTTCACATTTTACATTGAATGGAAAGTTGCGCTTGCCAAAATTTCAGACCTAAATTTGCTTCCTTTCTTTATGCCATTTTCAGTCAAAAACACCTCAGATTCATGCTAAGTACCTCAAGAAACTTATTTCCAATCTCAAGACCCATTTATTTCTCTGTTGAACAACAAAAAATGAATTCAATTATAAATTATTATTTTTTACATCAAACCTTCTATCTACATTTTTCGGTACCACTAAACCTCCAGGGCACCATTAATGAACTCCAAAGGTCGAAAAATATCTACATTTTTCGAGAAACCTATTGCCAGATTACGGTTTTTCTATGAACTTTTCTTTGCTCGTTCATTTCTCGAGCCAACTCCATCTCTCTCTCACTCTCTAGCAATAGTGTACGGATTTTTTAAACATGTTTTTTTATTTATATATTACGACAAAAATTAACATTGTCAAATTTGAGGATTGAAATGAAATTGAACCAAAACGACGTCAATTCGTTGCCCTTTTCGTGTGAAAACACTGCCGTTTTTATGGTAGGGTTATAGTTCATTTTGAACAGTAGAAAACATCATTGGCTTAGTTTTTTTTTTTAATAATAATTTACTTATCAATGCTCCAAAATGATGTTGGGATCCTACTAGTTCAAAATAGAATTATGGAAAATTATTTGGAGAATTATGAATAATTGTCAAATCTTTTTTTTTTTTTGGACAAATTATCATTTTTGTAAACGGATTTTAATGTTACAGTTCACATATCGGTAGAGTGGATTAAAAAAATCTCGTAAATTCTAATATTTAAATTCAGAAAATCAAGGAAGAAAACAAGCTTTCCTAACCCCACTAATAGTTCTGCTCTTTGAAATTAAACAAATTAAATTTCTTAGAATTAGTCTCTAATACTTTAAAAAGGAAACAAAGAAAATCCTGAACCCGAAGTGCGCACTAGTTCCACGAATGGGTCGTAGAGCAGAAGCTGAAAAGCCTACTCAATCCACTGTCAGATGTCACTCCTATTTTGTTAACACCTCATGTATTAAGAGGGTATTGATTATAAACAAAATATAATGTAAAGGAACTCCATTAATCAAATTAATGGTAGAAAGATCAATTTAATAAAAATCTAAAAATAGAGCCATTATTGGTGTAATTAACCCCTCGTGTCCATAATGTGATGAGAAGTGAAAGTCATTGAACAATTTCTCTTTTATTTATTTGTTTGTGAGACATATTTCAAATATTTGATCACTTGTAGAAAAATAAGAAAATAAGCTAGTAGAAAATGCTTTTCAATCAAAAGAAAATAAAAAGTTTTAAGAGAAGAAAATGTTTTCAGATAAAGCACTTTTTTATTTTCCAGGTTACTTGTTATTATTATTATTATTATTTAAAACTATTTTAAAGTTTATTGTTAATTACTTTTGGTGTAATATATTTTTTTTAATCCATTTTTTCGTTCTATGCTATCTCTCACTCTCATTTTTCTTTTTTTATTGTTTTAAAATTGCAATATTAATTATAAACTAAATAATAATCAAATTATATAGTTTTGGAGTTATAGGTTTATTTATATTTAAGTATTTCATTCAAGCTATCGAAAATTCGTTTCCTTTTTACGTATGCGTTACATGATAAATTTTGTAATCGATTCTTCAAAATACATAAAATAACAAAAAATATTTTCCAATTCATTTTTCATGACATAACCAAACGTAAAAAAATAATTCATTTTCCATGAATAAAAAAAAGCTAAAAGAAAAATGATAGTAAATAAAAATTTTACCATTAATTTTAAGAAAGTCAATAACACAAATTTTCTATAACATACCAAAAAAATGATTTCAAACTCATTCTCCGTATTACAGTCATATATATATTCCATTTTCTCATAAATTATTTTTCATAATGAAAATTTACTTTCCAACAAACAAATGTACGTACCTAAAATGGATCGACCTAATCTCACCTGGGCGTACAAAAGAACAAAGTCGGATCCAAACTTTTCTTGACAGGTAACTTACAACAAGTACGTACCTACTGTCCACATACGGAATCATCAAGCTTGGAATCACCAAACAAGCCCTTTGTTGTCAAAAGAAGAAGAGTGGTGACTCATGAAGCAAAGAGCAAGCACAAAGCAGCCTCTTGGGGCATTTCAATCAAATTAACAAATGCGTCTAGCTAATCTTTAATTACTTTGTTTGACCAAGCTATCCGATCTTTATGTCATTAATTATGTTGGTTTATCTATAACATATCAAACATCTAATCAAAATCTAAGTAGATTTAACATTGATATACACCACTAAAAGGTTTAATTTAATCTTAAACCGGGGTCCCACAAAATGTTAGGTCAGAAAATCAGATAATGTTAAATGGACAACAAAAAAGAGGCAGAAGACCTGATGGAAAAGGACATGGGAGTGGATGTCCATCAATTGGCCTTGGCCTTCAACCTTTTAATACTTTAATGCGCATTAAGAGAAAACACAGGCCATGGTACAAAGTGCTTTAATGGTATCCAAAGTTGGTAAAAGCAAGTGCAAGATTAATTATCAAAAGATTAGGAGCTAATTCACAGTTCATCACAAACATTATACAGCTAGAGATGAGTACTATTATTAACTCCAAATCCAGAAGGATCAGAAACTTAATCAGTATAATTAACTGTAAAAAGATGATTGACATTCAACTTAAGCTTCAATCTCAAACCTTGGACACTTGATGGAGCCCATTGATATGTCAATCTCAATCAAATTTTCCTCCTCGTTCATCTCATTCAGTTCTGCCAAAAGCTCTATTAGATCATGCTGTTTAAAAAACGACCCTGCTGCAAAATCTGGCAATTTCTTGTGCAGTTTATAGTTGACTGCATCTTCTTTATGATCACAAATGTAATGTCCACCCGGAAGGGCGATTTCAATGAGGCTATCCTCGTCGGAAATAGATCCATCAGAGCAATCTCGGCTCTGAAACATTTTGTCTTGAAACAGCCAGTCCACTTCTGAATCCTCACTTGATGAGCGACCAAGGCAGTCACTTTCTGATAGTATAACTGGTGATGATACTGCCAAGTGCTCTTCAATCTGACCTCTACCTTCTTCCCCTTCTTCTTCTTCTTCTTCTTCTACTTTCTCTTCTGTGATGGATTCCTTTTCAAGCACAAGTACTGGTTTAGATATAAAATCTTCTATGTAAGGTGAAGTACTTGCCTGATCTGGCGTGACAATCTCATGTGTTACTGATTTCTGCACTTTTGTTTGTTTTTCCTTTGAGAAATTCAAGATAAGACTGGATAAAATTAACACTGTTGAAGTGAGAAAAATTGGTAAGAGCCCATATCCAAGAAAACCAGCAAGAATCAATACCGGAGCAAGAACAAACATCCATGGCAGTACTACTAGTGAGAATAGTTTGAAGAAACATAAAGGAGAAGCCATTTGTTCCAAGACTTCGTTTTCCAACTTAATGAACGTAAGGAGCTTCTTGTTCAGCTTATTTGTCAGAAAAAAATTTACAAAGAAGATAGTTTCACCTCTATTGAAACTGCAAGATATGCACGTTAACGAGATTCGAAGGGGATAGATGGATGAAAAAGCTGGCCTTTATTGGGAGAGATATGAGGAACGAAGCTATATACGATCTAGATTTATGAAAAATATATAGCAGAAAAGCAGTTTATCAAATCCAGCTCCAGTACTGTGAGCACAGTAACGAAAACAATACTATTTCGGATTCAAAAAAGAGTGTTGCTAGTTGTTAGAGTGCGAGAACGACGTGGAGGAACTTATAGTGCTGTTCTTGTTCAGAAATCAAAGAAGAGAGAGAACTAAAGGTGGAAGGTTTTGAATAGGGAAGAGATTGCAGATTAAAATAATATGGCTGCCAAAGCAAGTATGAACAGGAAGAAACCAAGAAATGAATCAATGCAAGCTGTACTGTGATAATAGATTTGAGAAGCAGATAATACCTGAAGTGGCTTGCAAATGAAAAAGCAAGTGATCAAAGAACTAAAAGAAAAAGATTTTCTTATTTTCTTCTCATAGTATTGGACTATACTGACAACCTGTGTGAATTACTTGGTTGCTTCTCCCTTCACAGACTCACAGTTTCCAAGTGCCCCTTGCTCCTAATAAACGGGTTTTTTACCAATCAGGTAGTGTTCCTCTGCAACTGATTCTCTTGAAAAACCCAAAACCACAGATTTTCCAGTATGGATGAACAGTCTTAGAGCCTGGATATTAGAGAAGCCATGTGCTCACATCTGAGCTCACCACATGGCATTTGACCTCTAACTTCAAGAAGAAAAAACTATAATTAAAAGGAAATGAACCCCAGAACCCAACACAGGTTGTATATTTTATTAATTTTCTCCTTCAGCCATTACCCTGCTCCCCAAGAACCCTATTTATCAGAACCATACATGAAAGCTCCAGGGAAAGATCGAAAGAAACATTACAAATAACACACTTTGTTCTGATCCTTTTCCCTTCAACTCAATAAGCAGCTGAGAAGATCAACTTCCTGTCTCTGAACATTAATATTTGAAACAGCACAAAAGTAAATAAAGAAGACCAACCTCATTACTCTGGAAAAAAATTCCTGTGGAAGACCAAGAAGAGATCATCTAAGTACTCAAAAAATTAAGAAATTTTAAATATTTTTCTAAATGGCTTCAAAATCTAATTTACATTGAATCACAAAAGATCGGCATTCAAATGCCTACCGATGTACCAAATCTTAGAGCAACCCTAGAATTTGCACTATTTTTTTTAATGTGTGAAAGACTCCTACAGTCTACACAAAGGCTACACACAGAAAAGAGCAGCACTTTTTTTTGCCATCATCCTTTAAAAAATAAATGTACAAGAAACAATTAGGGGTGGAACATTCGAATAAACTTAATGAGTCCAACATTTTTTAAATATTCTCAATTCAATCTATCTGCTGGACTTAAAAATCCATAAATATCAGCAAGCCCACACTAAACATATAAAACTCTTAAATTAATTAATTACTTTATTCATCTAGGTCAAATTTATAGAATAATATATAATTGCAATAATTTTTTTTATTGCATTAAGTATTGTAGCTTTGGTTTTTCTTTGTTGGTAAATCCATTAATGTATCCGCACTTGTTGGACCTTTTCCCCAATCTGCCTCTCAGTTCTAGAACAAAAGTTATATCACTATATATATGTTCATAATTAAATTCTCAAATATATAGCTATTTGTTATGAAATAAGAAATATCAATCATCATTTTTATTTTCATTATTAATCATATTGTTTAATGGAATTCAATTCATCCATTATTACGTATGATGACACAAGAATTGAAAGGTTGTTGCTCAACTGTTCATGAACTTTTTTACTCCTTTTCAATTCTCTTCCTAATCATAAAGCTTATAAATATGATTCATTGTTCATTAGTTGAATGATATGTTTTGTAGAGACTAACGGAATTGGTTGAAGTTTTTATTACTTGTATTTACTTTATTTTATAATAAAATCATTTCTCCGTTGTTTTTCTCTCCAATTCTATTATTGTTATCATTTCTTTTATAATATGTTATCGATACAAACTTCTATCAAAAAACTCAACCATTTGTTTTAATCATTGGATTAATTCTCTATATGAGTGCTCTATCAAAAAAATCTAAATCATCTAGATCATTAAGAGGTATATTCTAATTTAACATGTATTTTAAATCTAATGATACATAGAGTACATGTTGATTATTATTATTATTTTATTTCCAAACACTATTATTATTATTATTATATCTTGCATTATAGAATTTTTATCATATCAAACTTCATAAACTTGATTTTATGGCCCTTGACATTTCGAACATGAATTATTGATCATGGATGCTTGATTCTAAAAAAAAATTCTCTACTTTTCATGCTTCGAATATACTCATACGAGTAGCAATATTGAGAAAAAGGTTTTAAAAATATAATGAATTGATTTCATGTTTCGAATAAAATAATGAGCTATTAATGAAAAATTATGAATTTCGTCCAACTAGTTCTACTTCATTCCCCGAAGTGACAACTTATGATAATTCTAAGCATAAATATAGTCGTAGCCATAACCATTATCATGGTTGGAATAATTATTGTATAATTGTGATGTTCATAATAATACACCTTATCACAAAAAGTAGATAAATTATAATAGTCATAATAATACACCTTACCACTAAATGTGAAGAAACTATAGTGGTCACAATAATACAACTTACCCCTAGAAGTGGACAAACTATGAAGAAAATAAAAAATAAAAAGGATTAAATCATCATTCCGAAAATGATTGTTATTGGTATCACATAAAGAAACATTAGTTATGTACCTACCGTACGTCAAAATACCTCGTTGAGCTTTGTCAAGTATCATTGAAAAAGAACGAGTAAAATATAGAACTCAATTTTATATATCAAAATGATAGTAATTGAAATTAATAACTTGTTGAGTTTATTTATTTATAAATAAATAGTTTATATTTTCTATTGCATAGTGATAGTTACAAATTTAATCTCCTATTTATTTATTTATGTTTATAAAAAAATATATATATATATATTTATTATTTAATTATTTACTTTGAATTAATACTATATATGATAGTATCAATATAATGAAAAGCTCATGAAGAGTGAATATAATATTATTTAAAGAGAAAAATTTTGAAGGCTCTTGAAGAACGAATATATTATTGCTTGAATAGATAAATTTTGAAGGCTTTGGAAGGGTAAATATATTATTACCTAAAAGGATAAATTTTATTATAAATGATGTACTATTATCTCTAAAGTCTCATAAACATTTATTGAGTTTCAAAGATATTCATCTAAATAAAAAATATAAAAAAATATTAAATACTTAAATATTATAATTATTAACCTGGATAGAAAACATGTATTAGAGAAATTATTTGTTTTTCTCTTCTGATCTTTCTTATAAATATTCAAATGATTAAAATAAATGTTATAATAAACAAGAAGTTTACTAATTCAAATACTTTATTATGTGGCATGATTGATCGAGCCATCATGGGTCTTCCGTGATGCAAAAAATTATTAAAAATTCATATAAGCATCTATTAAAAAGTCGGAAGATTCTTCAATCTAATAAATTTTCATATTCTACATGTTCTCAAGGCAAAATGATTATTAATATATCACCATGTAAAATTAAGATTGGATTTTCAATATTTTTAGAACGTAATCAAAGTGATATATGTGAACCAATTCATCCACCATGTAGACCATTTAGATATTTTATAGTTTTAATATATGCATCCACAAGATATTCACATCTATGCTTATTATCTCGCTCGAAACCTAGTGTTTTTGACGTTACTAGCTCAAATAATTTGATTATGAGCATAATTTCTAGATTATACAATTAAATAATTCACCTCAATAATACCGATAAATTTATCTCGTTAAGTATTAAATGATTGTCGAATGACTATTAGAATAAAGGTTGAACAACATGTTGCTTATGTTCATACTTACAAACGTTTAGTAGAATCATTTATCAAAAGGCTTCAATTAATAGCTAAATCATTATTTATAAAAATAAAACTCCTTCTTTATTTTTTAGGACATGCAATTTTATATGGAGGAGTACTTATTCACATTAGACCCATAAGTTATAAAAAATTCTCCTCATTTAAATTGATTTTTGGTTACGAATCAAATATTTCTTATATAAAAATGTTTAGTTGTGTAATATATGTTCTTATTGCTTCTCTCCATAATGAACTAAAATTTTCCCCTCAAAGGAGATTGGAAATATTTGATTGGATATAAATCTCCTTCGATAATTAAATATTTTGACCCATTAACATGGAATATTTTTACAGACTCGATTTAACCACTATCATTTTGATGAAACAATTTTTCTAGCATTAGGGAGAGAGAATAAGCAAAATAAATAGTTGAAAATGTTGGAAAAAGAGGTTACATGGATACTAGATCTTTACATCATCTTGATCCTCATACAAAATAATGTAAACTACAAGTTCAAAAGATAATTCTTATAAACCGACTACTAGATGTGTTCTCAAATCCAAAAAGAGTAACTAAAATGCATGTCCTAGTTGATAATACTCTTATTATAATTAATATCCCGAATGACAATCTATTAATGTTATAACAAATGAATCTAAAGTACACTTGAAGCTTGGAAGATCAATTGGTTCTAAAGATAAAAATCTCCAAAAGAATAAGTAAATAATCAAGATACAAATATTCATAAAATGATCTATGATATTTCGACAATAGACTTCTAGAAGAAGTTCAAATGCTTGAAAAAAATCAAAAGACTTCAATTAATTATGACAATATAGGAAGAAAATAGGATAAAAAATAAATATTTATTGATAAAATTTTGCATATAATATTTTAATTGATATTTTGTAAGAAAAT